CACCAAGAAAACATAAATTGCTATTGCATTGTAAATGAGCAAATTAAGTGACTTGTATCTGGAAATCACCATTATCATGTAATGTTTTGTCCCCAACAACAGAAGGCCGTGGATGGATGGTTGTTAATGGGAAGTTAGGAAGTCATTGGATGAGCCAGAAAACAGCTCCGGACTCCATACTCGAAATTTTAGCCAGTGGTTGCAAAAAGTCATGATGTCAAATCAATATGTGCATATATTGCAAATGGACTTAAATGTACTGCCATCTGCAATTGTAGTGCATGCATAAACTTCATACAAAACGAGGATGATGGACACGAAATTGACATATTCGGCAGTGATACAGATGACTAGTTAGATTTCCAATCTGATCCTGCTTAAAATATCGTTGGGTAAGCATTGGTACTTTGAACTTTTCAAATGGATTATTTTAAACACCATTTTGGAAAGAATAGTCATGTCTTACACTTTGATGCTTTTGAAGATGGACTATTTCCACTAATTTCCTACCAAATCAATTTCCAATCTCATTGTAAAGATCATTTTATAACCCAAAGTGGTCCCAGTGCCTCTGTGGCCAGTGGAAGACGATTACTACGGACTACCACACTGATTGCTGTATGTCGGACTTGTTTCCGCCATTGATACAAGACAATCGTTCGTCCGTGTTCTTACAATTAGCAGCTGCTTTTTGGCTCACGTTTATTACACAAGATGCCCAACGTCTTCACTGCCATCATGGGGTCATGCGTTTATGACTTTTGTTGTAATTTTTTATTTGTTTTCTTCCTTCTCAAAAGCAAGCGATAACATTTAGTATTTGCATTTTTGATTATTTCTTATTTAATTACAGGTTCTTCATTTTCGACGCCATTTTGCACAAAAATTACGGATTATCAAAATGCTAAACAAAACGGTAACGGGAACAACATACAAGATATTTTTGCACTGCTGACATGTTAAAACATTATTACTACGTCATGAAGCACAAATTGAAGGCATAGTGGAATTGCCCCTCGATGCAGTAAGTTTTTCCCATCTGTCTCCTTGACTATGTAAATCTTTGCAACAATTGTATTCATGAATAAATAGTGTCATTTATTACACGGCATTATCTGTGTGAAAGTAATCGTTCATCTTTCCTGACATCTGACATAAGAAATGGACATCAGAGTCTTAGTACAATTGATTTTAATGCTGGCAATCAATGGGATCGTTTTTATTTGTGGGTTGATTTTAAACTCTCTTGTGGTTTTTTGTTGGTTAAAGTCATCGCAACTACAAAAGAAAGTATGTCACTTCACAATTTGTTTGTTATCCTGCGTCGACCTGCTGTTGATAGCTACAAACTCTCCAGTTTTGATCACAGAATTGATATTTTGGATTGGTGAAAGAGACTCAATTTTCAAACTGCGCACTATTACTCACTTTTTCGATGTATTTATTTCTTTTTCAATAAGTACCCTGTTCCTTGTTAGCTTTGAGCGATACTTGGCAGTTTTCCATCCAATATTTCACCACAAAAAAGTAACGAAGTCATTGCTCATTAAATTGCATTTTGTTTTTCTTTTTATTTCCACCATGTTGTTTCTGTTACATATAACAAAACATATCTTGGCCTCGAAAATACTTTTTTGTTTACTGTTTATGTTCCCATTTATCTACGTCAACACTAAGCTCCACATTATCTCAAAGAAATATCGTCGAAAGGTCGTTAAAACATCCGAAAATCACAGTAAAAAAGGAAAGTCTTTTAGAAAATCCATATCAACATGTCTTCTTCTGGTAGCTTGTGTCTCGATTTGCTTTATGATATCGATCATCAGTTATATCGTTTTGACACTTAAAAAAAATACCGATTGGGCTCTCAGCTATACATGGATGAAAACATTTTGGTGTATCAACAGCACAACTAACTGTTTGGTGATATTTTGGCGTAATAAAAACCTTCGCTCCAAGGCGAGAAAAATATTAAAATAATTGAGCAATACTTCAAGTTCGTTCTAATTTACTATATAAAGATTTTCAGAGTCGATTCTTTACGTACAACTAAATCTATAATATTGTAGGAATAAATGTGTGTTAGGGCTGTAGAATTGTTGTATTCTTGCCGTTGTGCAATGTTATTGAACAAACAAGCTCCATGTTTAATTATTTGATATATAACTTGTCGTAACTGCTATTTGAATAAAACATATTAACATAAGCTAGATAGTATGCTTTACAACACAAAATATACAAAAAAATGTATACAAACAAACTTGCAATTTAATTTAAATAATGTTAAAAAAAGCTTTCGATTTTAGCTAAAGACAATTTTCTGTAGAGGAAGAAGAAAGTTGTTAAAAATGGCTCGATTGAAAGTTGCAATAATTATATATGCATTCATGAATAAGTAAATATGTCATAAAATACTAGACAATATCTGTTTAAGAGTGGTCAATCGTTTCCTCAATAACTGCATTAGAAATGGACGCCAGAGTCCTTGTGTAATTGATTTTAATACAGGAAATCAACGTTATTGTTCTTATTTGTGTGTTGATTTTAAACTTTCTTGTGGTTTTATGTTGCCTAAGTCATTGCATCCTTGAAAGAGAATTGTTCACTTAACAATATGTTTGTTATCCTGCGTCGACCTGCTGGCGGTAGCTACAAATGCTCCAATTTATTTTGATATTGTTTCACATATGTAAGCTACAACAAACTATATTACTTTTACGGTACCTTTATTCGGAACTACTTAGTATAAATTTTCGTTTCGTATCCGACTCTTTATTTTATTGTAAAAGCTATTTTCATGAACTTGATTAAAATAAATTGTGCACAAAAATGACACAGCTAAAAAGCAATTAGAACACATTGGGTTAAAGTATGTCACATTTTTTCTGAAGCTAACAAAGTTTTATAAATTTGTCTAATTTCGCAAATGCTTGTAGCTTTAACATCATGAGGTTTTTAATTTTTTGTGCGTCTTGGTAACGCAACCAACGTGCTAAAACTTCTCGGTAACGCAAAATAATTCACTCTTTTGACCTCCAGCTTTTGTGTAAACTTTGTGCTTATGGCTAAACCTTTCTCCCAAGCTTGAAAACATATGCCGTATTTTAACTTACGTGTACCAATACAGCTTTTTAATTAGCTTTGTCACTATGGTGCGCAAGCTAGTTTAAATTAGAGTGCTTCTCGGCAACTTCATTCTCGCTCTAAAAATTGTTTTAGTGTCCGATGAATCATTGGAAGTCCAACTACCTATTTCACCGTAGTTTTTTGCTGAACTTGTACGCTGATCACTTTTGCAATGTTTACCTAACTGTTAAAGGTGTTTTTACAAAAGGTGTTGTTACTAATGACACGTCGCTATAATAAAACGAAACACGATTTTAGAATTTTTAATGAAATGACAGTTATCTGAACATTTTTAAATTGTTTGTAAATGTAGATCGTCCAGGTTGGTTTAGTCCTGAGAAGTATTGTTTTTGGTTGTGATTGACTAGATTGATTGACTCAACAACAACAACAAAAACAGTCCTTCTCTGGACTAAATCAACCTGGACGATCTATATTTACAAACATGTAACGATACTCGCGGGTTCGAATCATATACTTTATTTTTAAATTTTATAACTTTTTGATACAACCTGTTCGTAATAGTTACGATGTGCTCATTGCACTTATGTAAGTACTATGTATTCACAAAACTTCTGTAAGGTGTAATACTTAAATTCATGGTACCGTCAATTACTGGAGGAGATTTTTTATACGTATACATTCTGTTTTAGACTTTCAAAGATCTGTTCTAACACAATTGGACACATTGATGCAAAGTGAGAACATGCAAGTGGCCAAATATACTACGTCTCTTAAAGCCAACTTATTGTCGGAGACTTTGAAGTCAATGTACTCGCGCATGTCTCATTGCACATGCTAGAAATTCGACGGCCGCCATTACTCTGGCAAATACTGGCTAAGGAATTTCTATATATTTGTACTGTGCGAGAACATTAACTTACACATTGTGGAGGTTTACTTTTCAAATCTGCGTTCTAGTTATGAGAACATCAAAACGCAATGTAAATACTGCCAAATTATTTATTTTGTTGTTAAATCAGTTTAGATCGCATGAAAATTGTGCTTATAAGGTTATAACCTTTTAAAATTGAATTACTGAGCAAGATTATCACGATCAATGAAAGGAAACGTTTAAAAGCACAATTTTCTTACACAAATATTCCATTGTACATTATAATTTATAGTAGCAAGCAACTGCAGTACTTGTCAGCGTAATGGCGGATCTGACGTAAGCGCATAAAAAATCTGGGACACATTGCACCCCTAATTGGCCTTCTGTTCATTTTATATTCTAAGCCATCACTGTGGTAGCTACTATAGCTCGGCGCATAAAGAAAAAATTTAAAACAAGTTAAGCCTTTAAAGAAAGAAAAGCCAAACATTCATTCAAAGACCTTTTGATCCGTCGGAGTTTGAGTATATACAGTTTCTTCGTTCTCAATTTGTACTAACGTCAGAATATTAAATGAAGTATAAAGTGAACTACAATTGGAAAAGAATATCCATCTTTTATTCCATATTTAAGAAAAGAGAAAGGAAGCAAAAAGGTTTAGCCTCGATAAATTTTTATGTCAGCTATGTTACGTTTTTGATGATTATTTATAGTTAGGTAGCTACTAAATTTTTGTTTTCTTTTTATTTGTCTAAAATGTTGAGTTAAAGATAGCTATTCTATTCCTGGTGTATAAAGTTTCATTTTATACTATACTGTCATTGCATGCGTTGTTTTGAAAGTAGAAGAGCAAAAACCAGAGCATGAGTTAATTATACACTGAAATCCTATTAGCATAATCTTCAGTTTATTAACTTTTTCCACAAATGTTTATTTCCAGAGACTTGTCTTCGGGTTCACAAAAATGTAACCAAGATAGGTAGATGTAAAAAGATCACAGATTGTGTCAAGAATGGCTCTGGTAAACCCGGTGGCTTGATGCATTCAACATTCATGCATTGAAAAATCGCAAGTTTTATAATGGAAAATTTTACGCCGCAGTTTCATACGTGCTGAAGTGTTAAGACAATTGATTATCTTTTTATAGATGCTTGTTACCAAGTGTTCTAGCTAATTTCAACGAAGGCGATACCTAGAACATGCATGTCTTGTCAAAGTAAGTTTGCTAAAGAAAATAAGCTTGCGTACTAAAGGCGCTTCCACTATACACTTTTTATTTGTATATAATTTTTTTATCTTAGGGACGCAGCACTGACACCTTGGAGTGAAGATTCCCTCGAGATACAGATAAATGAACTTATTTGTAATTTGTAATTTATTCAAGAGAAAGTTATCTGTAAAACTGAAATATATTTATGTAGCTTTAAATTTTAATTTTATTATTTTAAGGAGGCTCCCTGCAATTATGTCGCCTATTCGCTTTCCACATTATTTCAAACAAACACGCTCAAGCTTTGGAAATATGAAGTACGCGGGAATATTCAAGAATGCCAGTAAAATCTGAAAATGCTTAAATGGGATAACTGTTAGCGTTGTTATGGCAACCATGTTTCGTTTTTATACACTTTTATCATCTATAGTTTTTAAGGAAATGACCGTTTCTTTTTTCGGTTTGGTGAATTTTTCTGATTTTTTGCGTGACGATTGTTATTCGTTCAAAAAGCATTATGATTAACATTGAAGGAGTTCTATTAATAAATTTTTGATAAATATGAAAACTTCTGCTACATGAAAACATATTTGTAAATTTTTTTCTATTTTGCGTATGTTATATTTTGTTCGATTTTGCGTATTGTTTGATGTATTTAACATCCGCACGAACTTTTAACAAAAATTACATAAGGAAAACGAAAAAATCTTCAATAAAGTCATTGTGGCCATGCGTTTACGTAAAAAAATCCACTCTACATTAGCACAATATGCGCGTGCAAATTGACATCAGTCCCCTGCTTGGTAGCTCTAGGGATCCTCCTTAAAAATAATTGCAAAGTTTGAGCGCAACAAAAAATTTACATTGAAACAAAGTCCTCCGAACGTGAAAACCAACGTTGCCTGAACGTTGCTGGAATGTTATCTTCAACGTAATTTCCACAGTTGTGACAACGTCGATAATGTCATATATACAATGTTATATAAAATCTAAATAATTTTGTTTTGAGTTTAATAATTTCATCTGTAGTTAAAAAAATGGATTTTGAACGGCAGGTTATTTCATTTGTATGTTTTCAAAAAAGTCTGTAATATTTAAAGAAAAAGTTCTTTTTAGATAGAGTAAAGTTGATCGTGACTGAAACACCACACAAGTACATACAAGTACATACGACTGACATTCGAGTACATAAGGGTACATACGAGTGACATACGACTTTGAACTGGTTACAAATAAGAAATAGCACAATTTATTTAATAATACATTGATATTTGCGTTCACTTTTCTTTGTATATGTGCTCGCACGTCCCTCATATGTACTCGTATGTCACTCTTATGTACTCGTATGTACTCGTATGTACTTGTGTGGTGTTTTAGTCACGATCATTATATTTAGTCATTAGGTGAAATTTGTGCATTTTGGATTTTTATCTGTCTTATTTATTTTAAAGAAAATTCAATTCTTTCATCTCTAATGCAATTTAAAAGTTATAAAAACACATTTCTAGCGTTATTTTACTCCTATGCACTCAAGTAAAGCTAATAATTACTCGTGTTTCACTCGTATGTACTCGTATGTCACCCGTATGTAATAGTATGTCACCCGTATGTACTCGTATGTACTCGTATGGTGTTTTAGTCACGATGGAGTACAGTTTTATGAATGGCTAATTACAAGTATTAGTCAGGCAGATAAGTGAAGAAAATTGAGTAAAAAATTACCATACCTAAAGGCAATTTCATTTTATAAAAGCTAGAATTTAATTAAACACCTTTAAAAACCATCTGAATAAGTCGGCGAGCAAAAATATTCTTGAGAAGGCCGACTAATAACTTTTACTGACAGTGTTTGGTTTGTTTTGAGAAGCGCCATAATTTTTGAATAATTTTGATGTAAGAAGTGTGACTTTGCTAATTTAATCAGCGGCACTTTATAATAATTCATATAAACTACATAAAAGTTATATGTTCGCCTGGCATATATTTTCTTGCAAATAATTTCTAGAAAACGAAAAAATATACCGTTTGCATTTGATGTGAGCATTTCATCGTCAAAACCACAAAAAACTCTACATCAAATAAAACATTTATCGGGTGCATTCTTTAGTGCAGTGAAAAGAGCCCGCGTGAATCAATTATTAGGTTCAGTGACACGTCCAGAAACTCTATCTACAAAGCTGCTAAGCAACGTGAGGATAAGAAAGTTATTGCAATAATCGATTCTCTTGGGGAAGATCTTCCCTCGCCAGAGTACGGGTATCATGGAAAATGTTATAAAAAATATACTCACGGCAAGTTAAAAGTCAAAAAGCCTATACGTGAGCGATAGTGAGAGTCAACAAGAAAAACAGATAAAAGAGGTATAATTTGCGAATGTTTCTTTATTAATAAGACGCAAATTATAAGTAAAACTTACAGTTGATTAAGTAAATTATGTAAATATTTGTAGGTAAGATATTGGCAGATCACGAGTGTTGTTTGTGTGGAAGAAAAAAAAACAGCAAAAAGTGGAAGTTGCTATGAGCAATAGGAAAAATGCGAGACTGAGAATGATGCACGATATTTGCACGATGCTTCTCGATCATTCGATTTTCCACATTTGCAAACAGAAGTTGGGAATTCAGAATGGTAGATGATATTGGCAAAGGAATTTTTTACCACAGATCGTGTTATAAGGAAATCTGCAAAAAGCGAAAGACAAAACCAGTAGCTTCAAGCAATGCCGAAACCGTTTTTCAGGAGCTATCTGCAGTCATCGAAGAGAAGGTATTCCTTGAGTGTGAAGTTTTGCGGATGGTTGATTTAAGTAAAAAATATTTAGAAATTGCAGAATGTTTATTTGGTGCTGAACATCAGCTTAGCTCACCAAAAGTACAAAGACTTAAAGATAAGATCCAGAAATCATTTGAATCAAAAGTTGGGTTTTAAAGACCAAGTTACGGTGATTATTTGTTTAATAACAATGTTAAAAGAGGCAGTTAGTTGAAGCAGCTAATAAGGCAAAGTTATTGAACTATCAATGGAACGACTTATCGCTGCAGGAGAAAACGATGCAAGTTGCCCATGAAATACGTAAAGAATTATTGGAAACTCCCAATACTTTTAGAAGTAGAGCACGAGCTTCTGTCCAAAGAAACAGAAATTCCAATGTTGATAACATGTTTTTTGGAAGGAGTCCTCACTAATAAATCAACGAAATCTGCAAAGGTGATGCGTTTAGTGTCTTCAATTAGACAAGATCTGATCTACCACGCCAACAACGGTCGGGAAAAAACATTAAAGCATACAACCTCTCCTTTCTGCATCAAAAGAAAGACTGTCTCCAAAATAGTTATCAATTGGACAAAAAAGCTTGCCCATGGGATGTGTTATGTTGATGTGCTTATTCTTGAAACTTCTCTAGCAATGGAACATTCAAAAGACCAAGCTTGCAAGTCCTACTCTCCAGCCATTATTCAGCCATCTCAATTCGTCACTTTTATTTGGGATAACGACGACATCAATCCCGAAAGTTTCAACGGGCTTAGTGTTACTGTACGAATGGCATTGTCATCCAGCCATCAGATGTTGTAATAAATGAGCCCCCAGCCTTCTTCTGTAGACGTCTTAGTGTCTCCACAGTCATGCATGAAACGAAAAAGTTCCAGCCTCTTCTAACAGAGATACTTTCGTAAGTTAAGGTTAAGCGAAAAATACAGAAGCCACGACTAGGATTCAGCCATGCATACACAAAGACGAAGTAAAACTTTCATACATTTTTGATACGCTTTGGACCATTGCCAGAACACAAGTCAATCAAACAAATTTCGAGCAGCAGATACCTAGTTGTACAGGCTTTAACTAATTGTTGTGCGACAACAACAGCAACAGCTACCATAAAATTGGATACCTGCCGTCGACTAACAAATCTCCAACGTCCCATAATACTGTTCTGGAACTCATCAGTCAACAAAGGTGAAGGCAGAAAAACTTGGTTTGATCGAAACAGATATGGTGCTAGATATGGCAATATACTGTGGAAGGCTGTATAAGTTATGATGAATCCAAAGTACATAGATCTTAAGCAGTTCGTTGTTTTTCGGCTTGGCGGGTTTCATACAATGTGTATATTCATTGCTGCTTTCGGAAGGAAGTTTCCTGGTGCTGGTCTTCGCGACATCGTAATCGAGGTAAATCTTCTCGGTAAATCTTCAGTTGACTAAATGCTTAAAGGAAAGCCTTATAAAAACGCAATACAAATCCTAAAATACCTGTAGGAAGCTTTCAAAAGATATATGATTGATAGGCTTAAACATTCGAAAAACGAACAAACATAGCAGGCGAATGAGCTTTATGAAAGATTAGTCAACTCAGTTGAGTTAGAAAAATTCCTTTCCTTTTTAACAAAACAACTCTTAGATAACCATAGCCAATATGATGCCAATCTGCTCGATGAGTTAAAAAATTATGAAGATTCTGTCTTAAATGGTTCTCTTGGTCTAACAGCATCCGTATGGTCGTCATTTTTGAGTATGGTGCAGATATTACTCGATGTTTCAAGATCAATCTATCTTGAGAAATGGAAATTGCATCTGCAATCGACAGAAAACATGCTTCCCTGGATGTTTGGCTATGATCGTCCCAACTACGCACGCTTTCTGACATTAACTGTTAACCATGAAAAAGCTTCCAGAAACACATCCTGCTATACACCAAAACTTTGAAGCAGGTCATTTTTCTATCAGAAGACAACCAGGAAGATTCAACAAGATACCATCAGATCAAGCTATAGAGCAAACAATCAACAAGGAACAAAAATGTGCAGGTCGAATTGTTGGCCATAGTACATCAGAAGGAACAGTTCAAAGATGGGTATTAACCAGTCATTCTGCTGCAAAGTGTCAAACAAGGATGGAAAAGTTCCTAGGAATGTCCAAGGCTAAATCCGTGACAAATGATCTTGAAAGAAAACGAATGCTGCACGACAAAAATTGCGTTCTTCGCTGCTATGATCTTCTTATGGAGTGGGGGCACCGTTTAAAGAAAGTACTTGCCTCGTACATTATAGTTCTGGACTACAATGCAGCGATGATGTTAAGAACGACATGATTAATGCGGAAGAAAAAGGGAAAGAAGCACTTCGAAGCTTCTTGGCAAAACGAATTGAATCAAACGAAGAAGATCTGTCTGCACCAATTCAAAAAATGAAGCCAAAGATGTTTGCTGCTATGAAAATTAG